GCGCAACCCTCTGGAGCTGGTCAGTGGGGCGGGGCACGACGCAATGGTGTTTGCGGAGGTGACCAAGATGGGCATGCTGTTTGTGCGGTGCAGGTGCGGCCGGGTGGTGTGTGGCAGCGTGGCTGTGAGGGGGGCGTGGTTGGGAGTGGGGAGCAAGGGGGGGCGTGGATGGGAGTGGGGAGTGAGGGCTGGGTGGGTGTGCGTGGCATGGGGGAGCAGAGCTTGGGGCAGCGCGCCCGGTGGTGGCAGAGGCGCCAGCCCAAGCGCTGCCGCTTGCCCCGCTGCCCGGTTGGCCTGCCCCCGACATCCCCGCGCCTGCAACACTGCGCCCCACCCCACCCCCGCCAGCCTCAGGCCTCAGCAGGCTCCGCCCGCGCCTCCCCCCATCCCACCCACCCACCCACCACCACACCACCGCCACCACCACCCTGCCGTGCGCCCTGTTGCAGGGACGGCATCAGCCACTCGCCGCTGGAGCACGTCACGCCCGACGACGTGGCGGCCGCCACCGCCACGCTCTACCGCTACCTGCGCAAGCACCTGCTGTTCAACACCTAGTCCGGCCCGCGTGCCGCTGCTGCTAGCTGTGGGCCGGGCACTGGGTCGGGGGCAATGCCTAGGCCCCGGCTGGGCCGCGCAATGCCTCTGGATGCAGCCGTCCTACCCCCAGGCTAGGCTAGGGTAGGATAGGGTAGGCAGCTCTGGGCCAGGATGCCCGCTGACCATGTTACAGCTTTGCCACACGCGCGCAAGTTTTTCTGTGCGCGACCCATGTCTTACACCCAGTTTTTCCGGTGGCCGCTGCCGTCGGGCACGCCGTCGTGTGCGCACCTTCCCCGCCACCCACCCAAGCTTTGGTTTACCCCCGCCCCTGCCCTCTCCCCTCCCCGATTCTATACGCAGTAGCTCTCCATTCGTTATTCTTCCTTTCCCAAACTCAAACACACCACAACACGTATGCATCCGCGATGCAGCAGCTATCATGCATGGGGTGGCAACCCCCACATGCGCTCTTCCAAATCCTTGCACACAGCCAACACCCACAACCACACACTCCCCCCTGCACCCCTTCTCACCCATACAGGTGGCAAAAAAACATTGCAACAGAATCATCAGGCTGCTGGCCCGTTGCAGAGGTGCAAGGCGCAGGTGCAGGGCGCAGGCGTAGTCGCAGCACGCATGGGAGGGCAACGGATGCAGGGGGGGCGTGGCGAGGAATGGAGGGCAGCCATGGCCAATTGGCAGCGGGGCATTCGTTCCTGTCGTTGGAATGGCGGCATCCGCTCACTCCAGCGCGAAGGCTGCGGTGGAGGCCGCCGCCGCCCCCGCCCTGCTCCACCACGTCTTGAGCGGCTCCACCAGCGCCCGGTCGGCGGCCGGCCCCAGCATGCCAACCTGGCGCAGCAGCCTGCGGGGCGGGCGGGGTCGCAGCGGCATCAGGTATGATGTAAATTAGTCATGCCCCTTTCAGTGCGTGGTGCCCACCAGGAGCGACACCTCTGCCTGCCATCTGCTGCCACGTGGCGAACGTGCTGAAGGGCTGCACCCCAGAGGGGGTTGCTCACTTGAGCGTGACGACCCGCGCCTGCGGCTGCCCGCGCGGCCCACCGCCGCCGGGCAGCTTCACCAGGAAGCGGAAGGCATCCAGCTCGGCCTCGCTGGGCTGTACCATGCAGCAGGGCAGGGGCAGGGGCCGGCAGGGTCGAGCCGCATGCCAAGAAGCACAACAGCAGCAGCGATATGCGGGTGCACACGAATGGGACACTCTGGAATCGACACCGGCAGCTCATCTGCCGCCCACCCATCCTTGCCGCGCCTCGACCGGTTCACACGATGCAGGCGGAGCAGCAGCAGCAGGCAATATGGGGGCAAACCTCTCGCGGCGGGCAGGTGGGGTGGCCCGTGGCGGCGTCCACCCGATGCTCCTCTCCCAGCCCCTCCAGCGCGCCTGGCAGCTCCGAGATAGCTACCATGCCGGGCTGCGCCAGGGCAGACGGGGGAAGGGGGGGTGAGCTGTTGGATTGGAGAGAAAAGCAACGCAACAACAGGAAGAAGGGGTGCATTCTGCCTGCTGACTCAGCTCCTCGGAGGCGATCGCAGGCAGGGCGCCTGCGCTGGGAGGCTGCTGCGCTGCACCAAGGGAGGTCGTCCAGCCAGGGGCGCTTGCACGAAGCTGCCGCCCTGGCTCCTCCAGCCCAACACAGGGGGCGCACCTGGTCCAGTGCGGCCTGCACCCGCGCCAGCGGCACCCAGCACTTGTTCTTGGGGCAGAGCAGGTCGCTGGGCCCAAAGTCGCCCTGCAGCAGGCGGGGTGGCGTTTCACTTCCAATTTCATTGTCACTGTCACTGTCACTGTCACTTTTGACTTTTCAGGTGGGAGGGCGTGCATGCGGGCAATGAGCACCGGGCGCCGGCGAAAGGGTTGCTGCAGCAGCTGGAAAGGAGAGCCATGGCAGCGGTACAGGGACGACTGCAGGCAGACCAGCCAGAAGCAGGCTGAGCAGCAAGCAGCCGGCAGCAGACACAGTGGCAGCGGAAGCAGCGGCAGCGGTGCAGGCGCAGTACCACCTTGTACCGCATGCGGTGGCAGTTGTGGATGTAGAAGCCGAGGTAGTAGTACCGCAGCGAGGGGCAGGCCGCCTGCAGCAGTACCAGTCTCGCAGCATGTGATGCAGCCCGCCCAAGGGCCCCTTCACAGCATGCTGAAGCAGCTGCAGGAGGAGGCGGCAGGCCAGGCGCGGTGCAGGGCTGCTTCTGCAGTCCGTGCTGAGTCGCCGGCCACCTCCCAGCTTTCTAACCCACCTGCTGCTCCCACACCCACTCAATCTCTTGCAGCGACGTCAGCTTGCCCAGCGACAGCGGCGCCAGGTCTGCGCCGGGGAGGAAAGCGCACCACGCTGTGTGTGGAGCCACGCTGTGTGTGGAGGGGCATGCTCAGCAGCATGCACCAGAGCCACGTGTGCCATGTGAGCGGCAGAGCGTTTCTGAGAGGCATGAGGCATAGGGCCCCAGCCGGCGCGCCTCAGGCATGGGAGGGCACATGGGGTCAGCTGCAGCGGTATCGCCTGCAGTACCCACCTGGTTCCCAGAAGAGGTACTTGGAGGACAGGCAGCGCGGCAGCACATCCACCACCCCCACCGCCACCAGCCGGCCTGCGCAGGGGTCAGCACGCCGGCACGCCGCAGCTGGGCAGCCCGCGCAGTGGGCGCCGCCGCTTGGGCGTGATTTGCTTCGGGCGGCCACAAGCCGACAGGCTTGCCCTGCTGCTTTGCCTGCCTCAGTAAGCAGCCGCCCAGGCCCCCAGCTTACCGTCCAGCCAGTACTGTTGATGGAAGGAGCCAAAACCGATGGAGGGGCAGCCGCCTGCACAGGGCCAGGCACCGAGGTGGTGTATATCACAGCGAGTGGCCTCAGCAGCCCCTGGAGGAAAGCAGTGCCCCGGTGGAGGGCAGCGGCGGGGCAGGGGCCGGGGCGGTACCGCCGCCACACCTGGCGGGTACTGCTCGGGACCGGCGTGCCTCAGCGGGGTGTCGATCAGGAAGCGGCGGAAGGAGCGTGGGGTGACCTCGGAGGGCTTGTCGCCGTGGTGCACAATCTGCCGGGAAGTGTTGAGGGGGGTGGGTGGGGGGGGGGCATGTGTAACGCTTAGGT